TCCTTTTAACGTAGGACTGCATCGCTAGGATTAGTATGCGTGATTGTGATATTCATTTCTTTGTTTATGTCATGTGACATTTTTTTTTATTCTAATTTAGCTTATGGGAAGGTAAAAGGAATTAGAGCCAGCACGTACGTGCAAAGGAAAGGAATATTGGCCCGATTGGAGACCCAACCACTAATTTCATTTTATTAAACGTACTAGAGCCAGTGCATGCACTGATGTATACGCTTTCCTTGGTGTAAAAAGAAACACTAGTGACGAAACATCTTTAATACGGAGGACAGCTTCCACACCCAGCATTATATAAAAGACCAATATTGAATATACTTAAATAGTAAGGAAAACCAAACCCTTTAAGAAGCAACCTATCTTAATTCCTTTCATCTCTTCTAGGCCTCTGGTTAGTAGTCGGTTTAGCAGTCATGGCCGAGCAGAAGGTTTGTGCTAATTAATTACCCCATTTCTTTTTCCATTTTTAATGGTTGAAAAAGGATAGTTTTTTGTAGTTGATGCATCGGGGGCATGGATCCCTAATTAATTTTGCTCATCTTATCTGCCCTTTCTTCTATGTCAGAACCTGAATCTTCTTCTTGTAATATATATGTATCTAAACATATATATATATATTTATACTTTTACAGGTGACAACAATGGTGCTGAATGTGGACTTACAGAGCTCAAAATGCTACAAGAAGGTTAAGAACCTTCTCTGCAAATTTTCTGGTGAGTCTGTTTATTCAATTAATATTGTTCTCTCCTAATACAATTTCCGTACGTATATGAATAAATTGATCATGATGGAGCGAAATGGGCTGAGTTGTTATTTACGTACGTTGTGAGCAAATTTATTAAAGAAATACGAGATCAGGAGTATGATGAGAAGGCAAACAAGGTGACAATTAAGGTGGTGTGCTGCTCGCCGAAGAGGATCAGGGACAAGTTGTGCTGCAAGGGTGGTGGATGCATCAAGAGCATTGAGATCAAAGAGCCCGAAGAGAAATCCAAAAAAGAGAACTCGAAGGGGCAAGAGAAGGAAAAGGAGGAACAGAAAGAGCCTGCAGAGGAGACGAAAAAGAAGAAAGAGGACTCCCCAAAGCCCAAAGAGAAACAACCACTAACTATAGAGCTGGATCTGCAACTTCCATTACCGCCACGGGTTCCACGTCCTTTAGGGTTTTGTTGCGATGATTGCTACAGTGGAAGGCCTGGGGGCCCATGTTGGAGTGGTGGGCGAGTCCAATATGATGGATGTTATGGGAGACCCGTTTACGACAGTTGGGGTTGGGGTGGCTGTACTAGCAGTTACGCCTATTACTGTACTGAACAATATCAAGAGGGATGCACAATCATGTAAACAAGTCATTGCCTGCTTCATCAACCATCATCTTCAAGCTACTCCATTCCGTACGTTGAATTATATGCACGTGTGTTAAATTTTGTTTTCCTCTATCATGTACTACTTAATTAGTCCTTAATTAAGAAAAAGAACAGTAAGATCAGTGTGTTTTATGGTGAATTATATATGTATGATGCATGGGATGATGAATTATATATGTATGATGCATGGGATAATTCTGTTTGTTAACATAAATTTATGTTACTTTTATTTCTTAATTAAGAATTGTAAGGGTACATGCGTTTGTTTTAAATTATAAAGATCATTTGTATTTTATTTTTTTTATTTTTTATTTATTATGTATTAGCTAGGATTTTTTTTTTTTTGGGATGAAATTTATTATGTACGTACTATTAAAATACCACGCCATCTTCCAACTTTAGGCAAAAACCAACATTTAGTCTCTTACCTTACAAAATTGGTAAGTTTTAACCCTTCACCTTATAATATAACACTTTTAGTCCTTTACCTTACAAATTTGATAAGTTTTAGCCCCTCACCTTATAAAATTGGTAGGTTTTAACCTCTCACCTTATATTATGACATTTTTAGCCCCTCACCTATACGAATTGAAGAAAATAACTCCCACCTAATATTAGGTTATAACATTTTGTTGATTTTGTTAACTGATTGTTAACATCTGTTAACTGATTGTTAACATCTGTTAACATTTCGTTATAGAAAACATGAAATTTAAATTCAATTTTATTTGTTAGTTCTATTAACGGAATACTAGCAAATGCTAACGATCAACTAACAAAACTGATAGTCAACTAACAGAACTAACAGAACTAACAAAACATTATAACATGATGTTAAGTGAGAGCTATTTTCTTTAATTCTTATAAATAAAGGACTAAATATGTCATACTATAAGATGAGGGGTTAAAACCTACTAATTTTGTAAGGTGAGGGGCTAAAACCTACTAATTTTGTAAGGTAAGGAAGTAAAACCTACTAATTTTGTAAGGTAAGGAAGTAAAACCTACTAATTTTGTAAGGTAAGGAAGTAAAACCTACTAATTTTGTAAGGTAAGGGGCTAAACCCTACAAACTTTGTAAGATAAATGATTAAAAATGTCATATTATAAGGTTAAGAGCTAAAACTTACCAATTTTGTAAGGTGAGGAGCTAAACTTGGTTTTAACCTCAAACTCTATATATATATATATACCGAAACTACTAAGGAAATTGAGGCGGAAGGACTGATTGAGAGGCATACTTTGCCATCAATTTCTAAAGAGCCGTATGGTGAGTAAAGGGCAAACTTTTATATTAGTAAAAAAAATAAATAAATCTTGAAACTGGCAAATAAATTTCGTTATTCTCATTCACATGTTTTTTGGGCCACCAAGACTTACCACCTTCCGTCTTAAAAAAAAAAGAAGTCACCAAAGGTCTACAATCTTTTGTGGGTCTGAAAA